AGAGACAGAGAGAGACAGAGACAGAGAGACAGAGAGAGAGAAAGACAGACAGAGAGACACAGACAGAGACCAAAGCACGGGGTCTGGCGTGAGGACGGGCAGTTCAGGCGCCCAGGGACCCTCCCAGAGTAGCGAAGGTTGTGCCCAGGGCACAGCAGAGCTAGAAAGGCGCGTACGCTAAAACGGAGACGTCCGGGGCCCTGCGGAGCTCAAGAGCTGCGCCTGAGCTCGCAGAGAACCGGGCGGACTACTGGCTGCTATCGTCGCGCGAGTTGGGGTTCTAGAGAATTGGGCTGAGACGACCCAGACGAGCAACTAGACCTTTAGAGGAGGCGGAGAGAAGCAGCAAAGTCCAATGAAGAACTTTCCGGGATTAGAGAGGGAGGGGCTCAACACAGGCGCTGAAAGCCGAGCAAAAGTTACCCCGGGCTCGAGTTGCTCGGGGTTCCGAGCCCCACCAAGGGTGTCTAGGAGGGGCCGACCGTTGGGCAGCAGCCGGGATAGCTGGAGGAAAGTGCAGAGGAGGGTGGACGCGGAGGAGGCGAGGGCAGGGAGCTGCGGGGAGCTCTGAGTTCCTAGGGAGGGTCTCTCCTTCCCGGGTGTTCTGGCCCCAGCCCACTTACCATGATGGAGAAGACCAAAGCCACGATGTTGATAGGGTACGCGGGGCAAAAACAAGAGACGATGGTGAGCCACAGGTAGTTCTTCGGCATGGGTATGTCCTCCTCTGTCTTGTCATCCTCGGTGTTGGCCTCCGGACTGCTGCCGTCCAAAGCCCCCTTGAGGTCCGAACCCGGGGCGTACTGAGACATGGGCGGAGGCGGTGGCGGCGCCGGAAGGGCTGAGGAGCGCACGGTCGGCGCGGTCTGCGGCCGGGGCTGCGCGCTCATGGCTAGGCTCTGAAAAGCCGGCGGCGCGGCGCTCAAGGGAGTTGTGACCTCACCCCTCATACCTCCTCTGCCTGCGCCCTCCCACGCTCAGGGACGGGGTCCAAGAGCCTCGGTACAAGGAGGGAGGGAGGGAGGGAGGGAGGGGAGAAGGAGAACGAGAACCAATCGCCCTGCAGAAAATCGGGAGGAGCTTTGAAAGAGTGCGGTCGCGACAAGCCCAGAGACCACCGGACAGAGGCAGACTCCCGCAAGAAGTCTGGAAGACAAGGAAGGACGGCGGAGGAAGCAAGCTTGCTGAAGTTTCAAGTTGGCCTGGCGGGGGGGGGGGTTGAAAATGAGGAGCTCACTTTTAAAAGCCACCTGATTTGAATGCACTGGAGGGGGCTTCCTACTCTTCCCAGATTCCACCGGGTGCTCAAGAGTTAGGGGTTGTCTGGGAGCTCCCACTTTTCCCAAAGGTGAAAACAAAGACTTCTTTCCACTTTTCCACCTATAGGCCCCTTGGAAGGAAATGTCATTGTATCGGAAGCCATGCGTGAGGGAGGAGAACTGAGGTTCTGAATCCAGATGAAGCTGGAAATTGTCAGAGGAGAGAACCACGGTCTCAGGGACGTCCCTTCACCTTGCTGGGCCCCGATTTCTTCATTGGAAAGAAAAGGAATAGTCATAGTCCCTTCTCACAAGATGTTGTGATGACCCTATGCGATTTCATTTAAACCGGGCAAGTCTCTGTATTCCATAAACGTCCCTATTATTAGGGTGCTGCTTCCTCTACGCGGTTGATTACAGTGGATTATCATTCATCGTTGCAGATATTTCACCTGAAATCTGGATAGTCTGAGCTGACTTGCTAATAAACATGAAAAAATAATTTTAGGAGACACAGTTTCAAAAAACAATTTCTTGCATCATCGTACTCAAGAGCAGTAATCATCAGCGATGTTCTCATTTATCCACGGGGCCATATTCATTTGCTTGTCTGTCTCGCTCATGGCTGCCTCAGAGAGGGGACCTTCTTACTCCTGTTTGTAGCAGCACATGGCACAGCGCCTGCGAGCAGGTAGATGCTTATGGTGGCTTGCTGGGTGAACGCTCAAAGATGAACGACTGTTTTCTCCATTATTTTCTCTTCCCCAGTTTGGTTGGTCCATTCGAGTTGAAATGATCCAAAAGATTAGACTCAGCCTTTGTATTGGCTGTTCCCTCAGCTTGAAATGCTGCTCTCCCAGGATTTTTGATGGATTTTCCTTTCTTATTCTTCAATTGGGTGTTTAAGTGTCACTTCTTCAAAGAGAGGGTAGTGTAGTTTATAGCTAGATGTTTCCCCGAGCCTTACACAATCGAGGGCAATGCTTTCGTAGGTGATTGGAATGTGGGGGTAACAGTTGTCTTGCAGTCAGTGGCAAGGTCTTGGAGTGTGACTAGAAGGATTTTGCTGCCTCTGAGATTTCTCTGTTGCTGGCTCGTATCTGGATGCCAGGAGGTGAGCATCTTTCCTTTGCCCAGGTCCTTCACGCTGTCACTATACTTCAGTCTGCTGAACATGGACTGAAAGTTTTGAAACGCGAACCAAAATGAACTTCTCTTTCCTTAAGTTGTGTTAGGTGTTTTGTCCCAGGAAAGAGGAAAGGGACTAAGACAGATGTGTTTGGATTTGCCTAGGTTAGATCAAGAAATATTTCATATTTTACTAGCTTTGGGTTCTCCTCTTCTTCCCTCCCCTCCCTTCCCTCTCCCCTCCCCTTCTCTCCACTCCTCTCCTCTCCCTCATACAACAAATACAAAATAACACCCAATGGGCCAGTCAAATAGCTCAGTGGATTCAAGTGCCTGCAAGCAGGTTCAGGGACTGAGGGTTCAATCCTTGGGCCTGCCGTGCCAGCCCAGCCCCTGGGATGCGCCGACATGGCAATTGAGACTGGGCATGGTGGTGCGCGCCTGTAATCCCAACTCTTGGGAGGCTGTAAACAGGAGGATCACTATGAGTCCGATCTAGTAGTGAGACCCCGAACACCCTGCAGATCCTTCCCTAAATTACAAAAAAAAGAAACCCTCAAAAAATAATCAGCGTTTTATGTGCAGATATTAAAATCAATGCAACATAGCAACTTCCTCTTGAATACCAGATACTAAAACTTGTTCTGATTGTCATTAATTTATCTATACTTGGGCTTTCTTTTTGGTGACATGCATCACAGTTGTCACTTACTCATTTACTCATTCACTGCCTGTTCTTTCTTTAGCCTGTTAGCTCCCTAACTCATTTGTAGGTGTATTCCCAGCACTTAGAATTGTTTTGACACATCATAGTAACATAAGAAATATTTGTTGAATGAATGGACCAGGATTATCTGAGATATTGCAAACTGGCTTTCAGGTCTTGGTCCAGAACTATTTGAACTAGAATTTACTAGAGTGGCATCCCAGGAATCCATGATCTTTTAAGACCTTTATTTTTACAACATTTGCTGGCAATTCTGATGCAACTAGTCAGTTTCTTAAATCCTAATTCCATTGCTAAATTCTTAGGCTATACTCCTGATTTTTAGTTTACATATTCCCTTACATGCCTCAAACTCTGCCTGTGAAAAGTGAGCCCATTTTCTTCCTTAAAACCTGCTTTTCAAGGCTGGTCCTTCTCCTTGACTGCCTTATCTTGGCCCTATGCATTCATCCAACTCCCTTTTCTGCCTTTTTTTTTTAGTACCTCAGTTGCATAAATTTCTTTTCCCTTTCTCAAACACCTGGCTTTTCCCTGGCCCATGTTTTCCATGCCTGTCTTTTCTTCTTCCTGAATGTTTTCCCTTCCTCTTACTTAGCCGGCCCCTTCTCATCAGTCAGGAGTCCCTCAACCTATGCATCACCACTAGAAAAAGGTCATTCCTGGGCATCTTTTCTAAAGTAAACCTTGTATTCTTCTTATTCTCTACTCCATTCCCTTATTTATTGCCCATGTCTCAACCATCAACATCAGAACATTTCTTATTTGCTTACTTACTATCTCTGTCCCCCACTAGGTAGGAAGTGCCACAGAGATTATTTTTTGTGCCCATGTGCTGGGGTGCGGTGTTGCTATCATCTCCTCTTACACCCAGAAGAGTGCTTGATGCTTGGGGGCATGCCATCGTTGATTCATTGAATGAATAAGCTGAGTAGTCAACAAGTGTGATGAGCACTATTGTTCTCTTTCTTCAGCTGCTTCAGGAACTATTCATCAAATTCTATTGATTTCATCTCAAAGTAATTCGTCACTCTGTTCTCTCTTTTCCTTTTCTACAACCAGCATTCACTTCTCTCTCTTATCAATAGTATAAAGGCTCAGTTCTTTGAACTATGTTTAAAATTTATTTATTTATTTATATGGTACAGGGTCTTACTATGCAGGACAGACTCTAGTAATCTTCCTGTCTCAGCCTCCCCAGTGCTGGGATTACACATGTGCACCGCACCCAGTTTCAGGGCTGCCACCTTATGCGGTACCGAGGATTGAACCCGGATCCTTGTGCTTGCCTAGGCAGGCACTTAGAACTGCTGAGCTATCTCCCCAGTCCTGAACCATAGTTTTTTTTTTTTTTTTTTAGAACCGGGGATTGAACTCAGACCCTTGCACTTGCCAGGGAAGCGCTTATTCCACTGAGCCATCTCCCTAGCCCCTGAACCATAGTTTTGATCTGAAGCTGGTTAATTTAGATGGTATGACTAAGCCCAAGGCTTGAGTTCGCTTTTCAAGGGTTATGAACTATGTTTTCTTCTCTCACTCATTAGTTATCCCAGGAAATGCAGAAAAAAACAAAAAAAGGATTGTGGATTCAGTATGGATCCTTCAGCACCACCAAATGCTCATGAGGTACCTATTATGAATACTCAATACATTCCTTATCTGCATCATCTCATTTAATTTCTACAGCAGGTTTTGTGAGCTAGGTGACAAGATTTTACTTTTTACAAATGAAGATTTCTAGGGTCAGGTACGTTCTAGGTTTAGGTAAGGCCTCATGATTAAGTGGAGTTGCTAGAATTCAAACTAGGTCTAAGACATTTGTTCAGTTAGCAGGCTGGGCAAGAGAGTTAAATGAACATCTCTCAGGTCCGCTGGAATTATATTCTGCTCAAGGAAGATGGATTAATAGCTTGTTGGCTGGTCTAAAATGTAGTAGTGAAACTGCAATCACTTGAAGCATTTAAAATTAAATTGAAAAGAAAGTGCCTCCGCCAGAGAGTAATGTGTATGGCACTGATTCTTGAGGGATGCATTAGATCACTTGGTTGGGTTTCTAGCTCCTGCTTCCTGGCTGCCCTCACTTTCTCCTGAGAGGGCCAGTTTATTGCTCTTGGATGAACCCTACTGGCTGATGGCTTAATACGGTGGCAATACTTTCCCCCCATTGAAGTGAGAGAGGAGAAAGCAAAGTCTTAATACACAGTGTAGGAGCAGGGAAAAGTGTACTTTAGCTTTCTGAATTCCAGTGTACCAAGTTGCATTCTTTATCTTTGCAAAAGCCTATTTTCAAATGTGAAACTAGTATGTTTCATTCTAGCAAAGTGGGAAAATGAAGAAAAGCATGAACAAGAGGCATCACCTACAGGTAACCACCACAAACACAAGGATCTATTTCTTTAAGTCCTCTTTCTTTGTGTGCATTTTTCATCACTAAAATGAGATAATATACTGTTTTGTTTCTATTTATTTTTATTACTCTCTTTTATGGTAATTAATATTCTTTACAGGTATTTTTGGTCTGCATGATTTTCCATTGGTTAGATTGATTGTTATTTATGTTACCATGCCCTGATCTCTACTATTTATTTTGAGTAAATTTTGCCAAAATTGTGAAAGATACTATGCTGAACATCTTTCATGCCCCGGTCTGTATTTGTGGCAACGTCTTTGTGACACATATTCTTACAGAGTTAATTGACCATCTTTGAATGGGCAGAGAAGACACTCAGATTGACCAAGTTGAAAAATTGTGTTACAAGATTGGAGCCAAAGTTAAAATTAAAATTTAGGCCAATGACATGATCAAAAGACTACAGAAATAAGGTGCTTCAAAGGGGATGAAATGAGATGGATTCAAAGAAG